AAATGATCTGATTTTTAAAATGAGATCCTTACAGACTTAAGTTGTTTTAATAGTAATTTTTAAATTTATGTTAAAATGATTTGTATAATATTGAGAAAATTTAATTTGCATAATATTGGGAAAATTTGCTTAGCTTCTATAAATCTTTTTAAAAAGTTTTATTTGAAAAGAAGATATGTTAAAACATGTTTCATCTCACTATATAATTTAAATAATTAAGTCTAATATGTTATATACAATTTCTAGTAGAGTACTTAGCATAGAGTAGGGACTGGATAATTTTCAGTTTATTCTCTTCCTGACGGTTCACAGCAACACATGTTAAAGATGCAAATTTCCTAGGGATCTGATGTTTAAAAGTGGAAGGCACCAGATAGAAGAATGCCTTGTTTTCTGGTCATTCAGTTAACTAAGCTTTTTCAAAGCTCAGCATTACTGTGATCATAACTCTTTGTTTGAAGTCAAGATCAATAATAATGACTTTACAAGTCAAAAATTAACAGTTACCATATACTCACATGCTTGCTGTATGTGAGAAATTAATGGCTGTTAATATTGATGTGGGAAGCTTTGGAAAACCTTTGTTCACCCAAACCCCAGGCGCCCTGGGAGAGCGATGGCTTGTCTGGGAAAAGCAAACAGCAGGATATTCGCAAGGGCTAGGGCTAGCACCCCCACAGTTAGAACTAATTTTCACATTTAGCCTTTGTACTCTGCTTCTGCCATGTAGCTAGAACTAATTTCCTCATTCCCCTTCTGTATCCTGCTTTGCTACGTAGACAGGAAGACCCTGTAGACTATATAAACCCCGAGAATCCTTTGTTCGGGGCTCAGAATTTGGAGACTGACTCTTCTGGGCCCGTGCACATTAATAAACTCCAGAATCCCTCAGTGTCTGTCTGGTTGCTTCATTTTCCTGTAACAATATGTTTTTTTAAAATATATTAATATGTTTAAAAAAATTTAATTCTCATAGCTTTACTACACTTAAGAGTCTCATCAATAGGGAGGGTTTTTATACTTAAATCTGAGTTTTCAGGTGTTTATATTGAAGATTCAAGAAATGTCACTGTTTGAAAAGATTGATGACACTGTATTATGTCAAATCCCAGTAGAGAGGGCAATGCAGGAGAAGGAGGATGGTGGGATTGGGGGAGGGCGGCTGCGATGTGGGGAATAAATGACCCGGGGACTAGACTCTGCTTTGTGAGGCAAGTGTCTGTAACCACGGAATAGGTGGGGTTACGGAAATACGGTCTTTGGTCTTGTGGATACTAGTCTACTGTGGTGTTGAATATATCAGTGTGTTAAAAGCATCATTACAGACAAATAATGCTTGACCAGCAGCTGAAAGGTTTGGTTGATGAATAAATAAAGAATAGTAATTCAGAGTTCACAATTTGTTGGAGTTAGTCATTTTCTCCATTAAAAAAAGTGACTATGATAATAGTATGAAGGGGACCCCCCCAAAACAGAATTTATTGATAAAAAAGTGTATATTTATTCTCACATATTTAAACTTCAGGCGCCTTCAGAGTACTCTCCATTTGATGCAATACACCTAAGGAGACTATTTTCCTACTGCGCAGAACAGTTTTTGAATTTGTTGATTCTGATGCCTTTTAGTGCTTCTGCCGTTTTTTGTTTCACCTCTTGCCCATAGGCAAAATGTTTCCCTTGGAGGACTTTTTTTATCCAGGGAAACAAAAATTGTCTCTGGGGGTGAGATCAGGTGAATAGGGAGGGTGGGGCATGGAGTTCTGCTGTTTTGGTAAAAGAGTGCTGAACACTCAGCGTGGTGTGGACAATTGTGCTTATAAATCACCCATCATGAAATGGGCAAGTACATTGAAAAAGTCTTAAAAAAGAAAAACCTCACTGGAGCTGAACACAGCCTCTCACAGCAACACCAGCTGGTACACTGATAGAGATGGGTTCCTAGAACACTCACCTAGCAGGGGAAGCCTAGACTACAAGGGGCACACCCTCCAGAAGATAATTCCATGTGTATGTGTGAATGTGTGTGTGTGTGTGTGTCCTCGTCCTCGTGTGTCTCCAGAAGGCCAGGTGGTGTGCCAGTGGCCATATGGCTGGGGCAATCTAGTATCAGCTGCAGTTGGAATTTTTGTCTCATGTCACTCATATCACTACCAGTTGTGCCAAGTTCTCTATCTCTATATCTGTCTGTGCATTTTTTGTATTACTCCTTGACATTTGTTTTAAAGTTAGAATGAGCATAACGCTCCATCGCACACTTACACCATATGCATCTGCAGAGCCACACAGCTTAAATCCGAGTAGGGATCTCTGGGTTCCCTGTGGCCCACTTATCACCAGGAAAGCCTGGGAGCATCTGAATTTCCATTACTTTACTGGTGCATCTCCTTAATGGTATAGCTTAATTTGCATATCAGTAGTACCTTTTCACTACAGGTGAGAAATTGAGATGTTCAAGGTCAATTAATCGCTAATGTTTCGATTTGGCTAGTGCAGCTGTAACAGTGAAGGATGCTGGGAAGAGGGAGCAGTCAGTGAGAGGTTCCTCTTTCTCCTGATGAGAAATGATGATCCAATTTCAACTCTGTGGAGTCCCTCGATCCTTTTTCCTCATTGTGCTTCTCTCATGTGTTCACTTCGAAAATACTGGCCTGTAAGGGGTGTCAGAATGCCAGAGAAATACTATGAACTTAAAAACGTATTCTCATTATTAACCTTACACCATTCAAATTAACTAGAAAGAGCAAGAAGCAAAATAATCAGCATTTTCTCCGAGGTGTAAGTTGATACAGATAATATTCCAACTGTAGAAATGTCAGGTTAAGATGATGGCAGGCTGGGGTCACCTGCTTCATTCTCTTCCAAGTTTTCCGTGTGGGAAAAATGATAAAGTCACAGGGAGGTAGGCAGTTGCAGCGGTAGGAGGACCAAGGACACCTGGATAACATCAGGCCCCAGAAGACTTGCAGCTTCCAAATTGGCACTAGGCCCTGAGGCAGAAGAGTCAGATTAGACAGGATGGTGGAGGAGAATACTTTTGCATCCACCCACTTGCACCGTGTGCCCCAACTCTGATCACCCTGGAGTTGGCTACTGGATGCCTAGGGGTAACCCTGCATTCTGGAGCCCCTTCAAATTAGCCGTTTGGAAGGAGTCCACAAACCGCCCCACCCCTCCCCATCCCACCCCCATACACCAGCCTTCCCCAGCAGCTTCAACTTGCCAGCCCTTTCCGTGCTGTCTGCCTGCACTGACTGGCAGCCTCCTCTTCTCGGAGCTGTAACAAAAAGTTCTGCCTTTCATTGGTCGGAGTGTCATTGTGTTGTGTCTGCCATCAGAAGAATTTTTATTCCTGACTTGTATGGCTCGGTCACTGGTTCAGTTCCTGGTCAGGGCACATGTCTGGGTTGTGAGTTTGGGCCCCGGTTGGGGTGCCTGCCAAGGGCAACCAGTTATTGTTCTTCTCCTTCTCTCTCTTCCTCCCTTCCCCTGTTTTTAAAAATAAGTAAATGAAATCTTTTAAAAAGGAATGTTTACATCTTATAAAACAGTGAAGGCACATTTGTCCCGTTAGATCTCATGGCGGTGTATGCTATGCCACGTTAGCAAACATCGACTAGCATTTCTGTGCACTAGAGCCTGTGCTCCTGGTCATATAAAATGGGACACATGTCAAGAATAATGCTTGAATAAAAGCTGTACTTAAATGAATGGCAGTTTCTATCTAAAATGTCAAACCTTATCAGAGCCTCAAGGAAGATGGGCAAAGAATGGGGGAAATCAACATTTAGTAATATTCTTATTGGGGTGTTATGTAATAGATGTTACTTTTTAATAATACTGAATATTAATTATATACTAAAAAATGTGTCAAACCCTATCTCATGACGTTGACAATGATTATCTATTACTTACACAACCAGCAATGTGTTACTCAAGATAAGTAAATCTCAAATAAAGTAGTATTAGTTAAAGTGGAAGAATGAAACATCTGAAGACACACAGTGGTCACATTTATAATTTTCTGGTGTGCATCGGATAAAATGAAACAATAAATTCTGCTCTACCCATTCTTCCTTGAATATACAACAAACTTACATTTCACACTTCTCTGCTGAAGTGCAACTTTCTCTGTGACCTTTTCCGTGATTCCCTCCTCCCCGACCCTCCCACCACCCTCCCGTCTCTTCCTGGGTAAGACAGAACCAGTGGTGCCTTGGTAAACTGGCCGAGGTCGGGGGCAAGTACTAATTGAAGTTGCCAGTTGTGTAGTTTAAATATTCTCACCATAGCCAGTGGCAAAGATTGCTGTGTTTAACAATGGGCTTGCAAAATTTCTGAAAATTCGATGGTCTCTCACATACTGTTGCAAGCCAGATTCCAAAGGGAAGAAGCCTCCATCATTTACTGTGCCGCTGTTGCTCCTGCGCATGCCCTGCCAGTAGTGTTTGTCATGTTGTTTCAAACATGCTTTTCAATGTCAGTTCTTCCTATGGGACTATGAACACAGTGAGGGTAGGGGAGGGACAATTCCTTGAGCATCTTTGTATTCTAAGGCTTAATGGTGTGTACTTCTTACTCTAAGGAGTCTACATGAGCAGATGTAGTTTTCTGGTCGCACCATAGAAGGATCTGAGCAGAGAAACTGAAGGCCAAATCATTATCCAGTAACGCATGTGGGCAGTAAATATGCTATTTCAAAGTGCAGACACGAATGTCCACCTGTTGGATTAAGCACTTGAAACATTCAGTGAGACCCTTAGTTCTTCCCAGTATCAGGAGGTTCTAACACCTGAATTAAATGAATATAATTAACATAGAGTCCATTGATTTATACAAAATTCTTACTTTTTCCCCCTACAATTATGAGAAGTTTTATATTTTGGAACTATGACTTCTTAAGTTCCACAGAGGAGTAAAGTCTTGCTGGCATTTCTTTTCCACTACGACAGATTTTTAACTAATTTTGTTTACTAATATTTCCGTTTCTATTTTCACAAAAGGAGCTGGCGGCTGGTCTCCACTTGTGTCGAACAAATACCAGTGGTTGCAGATTGACCTCGGAGAGAGAATGGAGATCACTGCCGTGGCCACCCAAGGGGGATATGGGAGCTCCAACTGGGTGACCAGCTACCTCCTGATGTTCAGTGACAGCGGCAGGAACTGGAAGCAGTACCGACAGGAGGACAGCATCTGGGTATGTATGTTCCTTTACCAGAATACGCAGTCTCTCAGGGAAGGAAACATAGTCGCCCCTGCATGTCCTCGACAACCTCTTAACCTGAGTCGAGAAATGAATCTTTAGAATTACCTAGAAAATATTTTTCAATAAAATATATGTTAATAATTATTTTCTAATACATTTCATAAATGTATTATAATTTAATAAATTATTACATAATTTATTAAACCACTAAAGGTAAATTTATTTCACAGAGTCCTCAAAAATTGAAAAAAATCCTATTAGTCTACTAAATAGTGTGGAAGTCTAAGTAGACATAACAGGTATAAAAATGTTAAGTTTTGTTCAGTAATGTAGAAATTTTGCATTTTTTAAAAAGTTGGTCAAAAGAATTTATTCCTTTTGTTTCCTCCGATGGCTCTGAGATTTCTGACTTAAATCACCGCCCCCAGACTTTAGTATGGGGAGGTTTTTATATATAATATTTGGAGTATTTATATATTATGTACACCTATATGGAATATATACAGAGACCATTCTCTAGTATTTTTCAAGTGTGTAAGTGAGTAAAAAGCTGTGTTTTATGGATAGGGCTGCAGTTCCTGTAGGAGGGAGATGAGCAGGGAAGCAGCCGTGATAAAGTGGGAGGTGTTTGTAGTTGACTATAAACGCCTGGTGGAGAAAGGAAGCTAAAGGAAGTTTGCCTGGTGGTGAAGAAAGGACTACTTTGTTAGCATAAGAAAATATCGATTTGGATCCTACACAGGCCAGAAACAACATATAGCAATCAAAGAACTCTTTTCCCCCTCTGGCTGAGCTGCCAGAACCAGAGAAAATGAGTAACTTAATGAAGCATCATTCTTAGCACACAGATAATTTGGAAGCCTTTTTGGGCACATAATGATAATTTTCTTTGATCAGTCAACTGCCTCTCTTTTGAGACTTCATAGAACTTCTTTATACATTATAAACTCACTGAACAAATAGACTGTGATTTACTCACCTTTGTGTCTCTGAAGCACTAGGTGGCCATCATTGTGTTTTATTGATGTAAATTGAGTTGAGAAGTAGCCCTGTTCTTTCTCTAGAGCGAACAAAAGTTGGGCTGGTGCCTGTTAGCATTTTTAAGAAAAGCTGCCTTAAAACCCCAAAGCAGGTTGAAGTTGTGTATAAGAGCAAGAATAACTGGATATTATGGTTGAATGAATTTCATGAAAACCATTCAAACTAGGGATAAAATAAACAGTAATTATGAACCAATAACAATGAAAGCTTAATGAGGTATTTATTTTTAACTAGGAGTTTGGATAGTCTTTTACTCTTTCTCTAAATTGAGCATTGGATTTTAAACTATATAAAGGGTGGCTAATTCCTGCTAATATTGAGCTGTGTTAAGTAAAATGTATGTTTTGACATTTTTAAAAATGATAGATTAACCGGGAAAATTGTTTTCCCATTTCTCAAGCTTCGGGACAGCCAAAGCTAGACAGTGCCATTTGCCATTTTTGATTACTCCTATTAAAGGTGAGGGGCCGAGGATGAAGTAGTAGCGTGAATAATACCCTTCACTAATCCAACCCAATCAGTGCAAAGACAGATAGCATCTGTCACAATTACCTGTCAAGGTAATACTGCTTTTTAGACTGTGCTATAATTTGTTGGTGTATTTACTGTCTTTACCTCTTGTGTGTAAGCTGTACCTGGCATGCAGGCAAATATAAATGTTTGTTGAACGAATGAATAAAAGGATGAATGGGTGAATGAATGAATAAATGAAATGCACTTTCTTTTAGGATACTTTTACAGTCACAGAAACTAAAATTGACTTTTCTTTTTAGCACATCTATGTTGTACAGTTAAATATATCCAGAGTTAAGATGGTACATTTCTCTCTTCCCTATAAATTATGAACTTTTTTATGAGAAAGGGTTTATCTTTCTCATCTTTGAATTTCCAGTCTTCAATGTTCAACATGAGTGAATTAGTGAAAAAAAAAAGAAATGAATGAGCATATTTGAATACATTGATTTTCTAAAGTGTGCTTAACTTTGTGCAAAATTGTGGGAGGTATGAAAAGAGCTGATGTTAACATCAGAAAAGATAAAGCACATCAGAAAAAATCAAAGAATGATTCAGAGAAGCATGCAAATAGGAGGTGTAGATTCCTGGAGTTTTGGAAATTGACAGAATATGGAGATCACTGTAGAATGAACTTGTCAAAAGAGCAGGGCTTACATCAGTATTGAAAGAAGCATTATGACTTAGATTATGGAAGGATTAAGGAAGGTATTCCATGAAGCTAGAAATGTGTGAACAAAGCATGGGTGTTGGGGATACCCAGTTTCCTGTGTATTAAACAGTGAGACTACTGTTCATAATGGACTGTTAAGTGTGAAGTCTGGACAATACTTTTAAAAATTCTTAAAAATTTATTTATTCATTTAAATTGTTGTTCAAGTACAGTTTTCTGTCTTTTACTCATATCCTAGCCCACCCCTCTCAGTGCTCCCCACCTCCCTCCCATTTCCACCTCCCTTAGTTGTTGTCTATGTGTCCTTTATACTTGTTTCTGTAAACCCTTCTTCCCCTTTTCCCCTGAAATTCCCTCTCCTCTCTCCTCTGGTCACTGTCCCCCTGTTCTCTATTTCAGTGTCTTTGTTTCTATTTTGCTTGTTTGTTTTGTTGTTTAGCTTCCCGTTAAAGGTGAGATCATATGGTATTTGTCTTTTACCACCTGGCTTATTTCACTCAACATAATGCTTTCCAGTTCCATCCATGCTGTTGCAAAGAGTAGGAGCTCCTTCTTTCCTTCTGCTACATAAAATTCCATTGTGTAAATGTACCATAGTTTTTGGATCCATTCATTTACTGATGGGCACCTAGGTTGCTTCTAATGCTTGGCTATTGTAAATTGTGCTGCTATGAACATTGGTTTCATAGGTTCTTTTGGATTGGTGTTTCAGGGTTCTTAGGATATAATCCTAGCAGTGGAATTGCTGGGACAAAAGGCAGATCCATTTTTGGTTTTCTGAGAAAATTCCATACTGTTTTCCCTAGTGGTTGTACCAGTCTGCAGTCCCACCAACAGTGAACTAGGGTCCCCTTTTCTTCACAACCTCTCCAACATTTGTTGTTTGTTGCTTTGTTTATGATGGTCATTCTGACCAGTGTGAAGTGGTATCTCATTGTGGTTTTAATTTTCATTTCTCTGATAGCTAGCAATACTGAGCATCTTTTCATGTGTCTCTGGATCATCTGTATGTCCTCCTTGTAGAAATGTCTGTTCAAGTCCTTTGCCCAATTTTTAATTGGGTTGCTTGTCTTCTTAGAGTGGAGTCATGTAAATTCCTTGTATATTTTGGAGATTAAACCCTTGTCTGAGGTATCATTGGCAAATATGTTTCCCCATATAGTTGGTTTTCTTTTTATTTTAATACTGTTTAGCCATGCAAAAGCTTTTAATTTTGATGAGATCCCATTTGTTTGTTCTTTCCTTTATGTCCCTTGCTCTAGGGGACATATCAGTAAAAATGTTGCTGTGTGAAATAGCTGAGATTTTCCTGCCTATGTTCTCCTCTAGGACTTTAATGGTGTCACAGCTTATATTTAAATCTTTTACCATGTTGAATTTGTTTTTGTGTATGGTGTAAGTTGGTGCTGGAGTTTCATTTTTTTGCACGTAGCTGTCCAGTTCTCCCAACACCATTTGTTGAAGAGGCTATTTTTACTCCATTTTATGTTACTGCCCCCTTTGTCGAATATTAATTGACCATAAAGAATCGGGTTTATTTCTTAGCTTTCTGTTTTGTTCTGCTGGCCCATGTGCCTGTTTTTATGCCAGTACCAGGCTGTTTTGATTACAGCGGCCTTGTAATACAGTTTGGTACCAGGTGTTGTGATCCCTCCTACTTTGTTCTCTTTTCTCAAAATTGCAGCAGCTATTTGGGTTGCTTTATGGTTTCATATAAATTTCTGAAGTGTTTGCTCTATGTCTGTGAAATATGCCATTGGTACTTTAATAGATATTGCATTGAATCTGCAAATTGCTTTGGGTAGTATGAGCATTTTGATTATGTTAATTCTTTCAATCCATGCACATGGTGTATGTTTCAATTTGTTTGTGTCTTCCTTGATTTCTTTCTTCAGTATTGTGTAGTTTTCTGCATACAGGTCTTTTATGTCTTTGGTTAGGTTTATTCCTAGGTATTTTATTTTTGCTTTTGCTATATCAAATGGGATTTTTTTTCTTGATTTCTGCTTCTGCTGTTTTATTGTTGGTATACAAAAACACCTTTGATTTCTGGATATTGGCTTTGTATCCCACTGTTTTGCCAAAGTCATATATTAGGTTGGGCGGTTTTTTGGTGGAGTCTATAGGATTTTCTATGTATACTATCATTTCATCTGCAAACAGTAACAGTTTTGTTTCCTTCTTTCCTGTTTGGATGCCTCATATTTCCTTTTCTTGTCTGATCGCTGTGGCTAAAACTTCCAATACTATATGAATAGAAGTGGTGAAAGTGGACAACCTTGTCTTGTTCCTGATCTTACTAGAAAAGCTTTTAGCTTTTACCCATTGAGTATGATGTTGGCTGTAGGTCTCTCATATATGGCTTTTATTATATTGAGGAGTGCTCCCTCTATTCCCACTTTGCTGAGTGTTTTTATCATAAATGGGTGCTTCAAATGCTTTTTCCATATCTATTGATATGATCATGTGATTTTTGTCTTTGCTTTTGTTTATTTGATGTATTACACTTACTGATATGTGAAAATTGAGCCATCCTTGCATCCCTGGGATGAATCTCACTTGATCATGGTGTATGATCTTTTTAATGTATTGTTGGATGCAGTTTGCTAATATTTTGTTGAGGATTTTAACATCTATGTTCATCAGTGATAGTGGCCTGAAGTTTTCTTTGTTGTGTCTTTATTTGGTTTTGGGATTAAGATGATGCTGGTTTCATCAAAAGAGTTTGGGAGTCTTCCATCATTTTGGGTTTTTTGAAATAGTC